TCGTCATACATAATTTTAGTTGACTTTAATTGCAAATTTTCCAATTTCATCTAAATTAAACCGATGATATACATGAGATTATAAAGTACGGTATATGATACGCTAGAAACTCGTATCTTTTTGTGTGTCAATATAAAGATGTGATATAAATAATGGTTTGTTACAAGAAGATTATAATATTTGTTGTTAGGGTGGTATGGTAATTTCACAATACCATAGGAAGGAGTGTTTCTTGCAAGGGTGGTTGTTGACTGTTTTGCTAAAGAAATCGACTAAAATAGGCAATAATGTGATGTGCAAGTTCAACTATGATTTTAAATGCTATAAGGAAAATAAGAAAATGATGTTGACTTAATCTAATATGCTATGCCCTTGACCCGATATTGAAGTGCGTCTTTGGTCTAATGCAAAAGGGTAAATAAATAATAAACAAATTGACCCAAGATTGAAGTACATCTTTAGTTTAATGCAAAGGGTAAATAACAGTAAACAAATGATTTTTTTAGTTTTTGCTATTAATATAGATAGAGTATTACATTATTTTATTAATATTATTTATGTATTTTATTAGTTTATTTATAATAATAATGTGTTAATATTTATTTATTGATAATAACAATATGAAACTTGATATTTATAAAATGTATTTTGTTTATAATCTATGATAACAATCTACTTTGCATTTACAATCTTTATTCATTAAGCAACATACTTATGCATTTACTAATGAACACACTGTACATAAAGTTCTTTACTAGGAATAACATGTGAAGAAGTAAATTAAAGTACGTTGTTATTGTGATTTAAGAAATAAAAGTATACTACTATTATAACTAAAATAAATTACATTGTCTACATACACAAGAATTTTGGAAATTAAAATATGATGTTTACCACACGCTATCTTTTTAAAAGATTTTTTTTTTGAAGTACCAAACCAAAATGTTTACAACTATTACCGGTTGTGTTATCAAAACTGAAAGACAAAATTACAAAAATTGGCCCTTGGCAAAATTCTGTAGTTTTGGTCCAAAACGAAATGTTGGTGCACCGTTGGTCCGATTTTAGATACCTTGTGTGGTTTTGGTTCCTATGGTTGCATTTTTGTGTGTTTTTAGTCTAGACCCAACCTGAAATGACGAATATGCCCTTTGATAATTCTTTTTTATTTATTTTTAACTTTTTATTACTATTTTCATTAAAAAATAAAAAGAAAATAACACCACCCTACCCCCCCCTCTCTCTCTCTCTCTCTCTCTCTCACACCCTAAATACGAAAAATACTCTTGTCCAAGTCCAGATGCTAATCTTCGACTGC